CCTCAGTGTGGCACCAGTGACGTGCCCCTGTGCAGGCACTGGCCAAAACCTGCTCCCAGCCTGACTGGGCAGCAGAGGAATGATGAGATCTTTGTCAGGACCTGCCTGTGTCTTCCTGCTCTTTGTTTGCCCCACACTAAGCTATTTTTATTCTAGTGCCAATGTTTGGGTCTCTGATTTCTTTATTTACCAACAGCTGTAATAGTGCAGTGTTTTCCAAACACTGGCCAGACACCAAGGATTTCAGGGAAATAAACCCCCTTCCCAAAGGTCTCTCTGGGCATCCTTTATCTGATAATGAAGACTTCACCATCTCCCAGCCCTGTGTCATCCTCTTAGCAGTGGTGGCTTCTCAATCTGTTCTCCCTCTCCATATTAGGTATAATTTAGCAGCTCCTCACTCCTCCCCCTTGCTGTAATTAGCACTTTTTGCCTTGAGTCATGGTCTGTAATCATATCTGGCCTGCAGTTACTGTGCAGAGCTGAGCCCTTCCCCAGGTGCAGATAAGATTCCCTCTGTTTGTGCCAGGCTGAGTGTTCCGAGGGACGCGGTGCTCTGGGCAGAGCCTCAGCTCTGGGGCAAGTGGCAGCACCAGAAGGTGAAGGCAATTATCCTCTGTGCTCTCACATCCCTCCCAATTGGAATTACAGGGCAAACTTGGTTGCTATTAATAAATTGTTTAGAGACCTGTGGCTGAGGTGTGCAGGACCAGGGCCTGACACAAGGCAGTGTCCCCCCAGAAGTGCCCTGGGATGGTCCCTGACCACAGTGTGGGGACATTTGGGCCACAGGTGTGACAGCACTGGGGACCTGCTGCCTTTCCAAGGTGCAGCAATTGGTTCTGCAGCAGGGCAGAGTTTGGGATGTGGCATTCGGAGCCCGGCAGCCCCTGGGCTCTCCTGGGAATGCAGCAGGACCAAACTCTGCTCCAGCAGCTCAAGTGAAACAGGAGCTGGGGGAGTCACTCTGAGTTAAACTCAGCAGTGAGTGGCGAGAGATGGGGCTGGAAATGAGCAATCCTGGCACCAGGAACACAGGGAGAGGAATAGCAACCACAGCTCAGACTGGAATTGGCCATGGGTCCAGTGGGACCTTCACAGTGAAACAACAGCCTGGGGACCCTGAGATGGGGCTGGAGACTCCCAGACACTTTAGGGAGGTTGATCATGAGCAAGTTTATAGCTTATGAGGAGTTTGTAAGGGAGCCAGGACTCAGATAATGGGGGATTTTAATTACTTAGATATTGACGGATATAATAAGTGTACAGCAAACCACAGAGGGAAACCTATGTCTGGAGGGGAGAGTGAGATTGATCTATGCACAGCATGTTAAATCACTTAAATCATTCAGAGCCTCTTCTGGCCCCGGCTCCAGGAGCAGAGCCAAGTATGATAAATAAGGCCGGAATTAGGAAGTGTCTAGAATCCAAATGTTTGTTATTCCTGTTTGATTTCAAATATTCATGGGGACAAAAGCAGCAAAGCACTTGGCTGAGCCTGTCTGGGGGCTGTGGGAATTCCTGCAGAGGGGCTGGCAGCCCAGCACCAGGAAAGGGCTGCCAGTGCCCATGGGCAGCTCAGGAACTTTTGCACAGATTTGTCTCAGTGGCCGGTGACCTGGGTGAGACCACGCACGGCAAGGAGAGACCCAGGGCTAAAGTGACTGAGAATGCTGGAAAGTCTGAGCCAACAGTGTGGGTGGGATGACGAGCTGGGCATGGCCCAGGGAGCCTGGCAGGCAGGGCTGGCCACCTCCTGTGGGTTGGTCCCAGGGCTCCTGAGGCTCTGTGAGGTTTGGTGCAGCGAAGGTGTGCCCAGGTGAGGTCTCCTGCTGTCACCTTGGGCGTGCACCAGACTCCATCACACAGGTCTGACCATCAGATATCATGGGGAAAATCTCTGCTTAACAAAAGAAAGGAGTCAGGAGTCAGGTGGACACTCCAAAATGTGGCTGGAAGAGCTGTTGTGCTGCTGGGCAGCTCTGAGTGGCAGCTCCACAATGGGAACGTGTGCCTCAGTGCTGCAGGGCCAGGGCCTGGCTCCAGAGATAAGGGAGATTTCTGTGTGGGTGGTGCCAGTCTGGGGCTGGAGCTGCTGCTCTGGACGTGGACAAGGGCTGTGACATCTCTCCTGTGTTTCCATCCACTCCCTGGCAGGCGTCAGTCCCAGCTGACCCAGCAGATACTGCTGGGGTCAGGGAGTTGGTGCAAAATCCTGTTCTCGGTCCCATGGATCCTGGGCAGGCTGCACATCCCAGCCTCACTGCGGAGATGGACCTTTGGGAGATGAGGTCTGGGGGCAGCATCTCTGAAAGAGGAAGGGGAGTCTACTCTTTGCTGCTTTTCCCTTGCTGAAATAACATGAATTCTATTACAGAGCTGCAGAAATGGTCTTAACCCTGCCTGTTCCAGTGTACAGGTTGTCCCAGTCGGGGTCTGACAGAGAGCAGCAGAGCCTGGACATTGCTGCTCAGGAGAGGTGATGGGCAGTTGTGGCTGGACTCACCCCACACATCCTGGGCTCCCCCAGAGCCTGCCAGAACAAACCCTTCAGGAAAGAGTGGGGCCTCAGGCTGGCAGCCTGTGGCAGCACAGCTCCCACTGGCAGGATGCAGCGTGGATGCTCAAACACATGGTGCCATTTTTAGGCACAGGCATAAATTATTTAAATTCCATGTGCTTCCAGTCAGGAAGCACCTGAGATCTTAGATGTCTGTGTCTTGTGATCAACGTTAGACAGCAATGGTTTGAAAACAGAGAGAAATCAAAGCTCTCTTGGAGCAGCTGTCCCAGGCTGCCAGGAGAGCACACAGGAAAGGCCTGTGCTTTCCTGGGGCTCACTGTGCTTTCCTGGGGCTCACTGTGCTTTCCTGGGGCTCACTGTGCTTTACTGGGGCTCACTGTGCTTTCCTGGGGCTCACTGTGCTTTATTTGGGCTCACTGTGCTTTCCTGGGGCTCACTGTGCTTTACTGAGGCTCACTGTGCTTTCCTGGGGCTCACTCTGGGTACTTCAGAGGGGCTGGTCCTCACTGAATTCAGTTCTAAAGGAGCTGCAGCTGACTGTGACAGCCTTTGGTAAGGTGAGCCCAGGCATGGGCAGGCTGGACAGTGGGGTTTGTTACATGGGGAACACAGGCTGGACAGTGGGGTTTGTTACATGGGGAACACAGGCTGGACAGTGGGGTTTGTTACATGGGGAACACAGGCTGAACAGTGGGGTTTGTGCATGGGGAGCACAGCAGGCTGGCTCCTCTGCAGTCTCTTAGGCACCTTCCTTGTTCACTGAGAGAAGGGGACTGTGCCCTCCAGTGCACGGAAACCCCTTGGCTTTCCAGAGCCTCCAACACCTCTCTGATTTTCCATCTCCCCTCTTCTGAGGTGACACAAATCCATCCTCCTTGCTCCTAAGGACCTGCTCCTGACCCCATGGCACGGGGCAGCACGTTCAGGAGTTTGCAGAAGGAAGAAAACCCACCTGCTGGGGTCCTGCGGCCCTTCCTGGCAGCAGCATCGCTTCTGCCCAGCGGGGTTTGGGCATTTGCAGCACGTGTGGAGCCCCCGTGCCTCGCAGGCCCAGCCTGCCCCAGCTCCCTCCAGTCCTGACTGCGTGTCTCATTTAGATGCAGAGATTTTTCCCCTGGTCCAAGTTTGCTGTTTTCCTGAAATGGTCCGAAATGTAATAGACCAAGACAATCATCGGGATGAAATATTTCCTACATGAAATATGCAGCAGCTATTCAGAAATGAAGATCAAGTGGAAGGAGCGGTGCCAAGCAAAGATTTAAAGGTGCTGACACATTCCCATGGGTTGTTTACTGAAGTCATCTCTGAAGCCTCAGTTTTAGGGCTATATTAAAAAAAAGAGCACAAAATACAATTTAGCAAGAGTTTAATAATTTAAGCTACAGTGTGCTGGGCTTGTTTTTGCTGTTATGGGAACAACATCTCATTTCAAAGGACCTTGACTCTCTTCTGGTAGTAAGAAGGGGCCAGTGCTATTTTTGCACCAAGACACTGACTGGGTGTGAATCTTGCTTCTGCTGTCTGTGCCAGCAAAACCTGGGGAGGCAAAACAGAGCCATATGGCCTGATTTCCCTAAAGGTGCAAATTCCAAGGAATCTGAGCGCGCTGACTTGCTAGAAAATGGCAACATGGGTACCTGGGGTTATAAAAAACGCTTTAGCACCGCTCCTGGCACAAGGCTGTGCCCACTCAGCCCAGCTGGGTGGTGTGAGGGGAGCTGTTCCTGCAGCCTTGGGCCAGGCAGTGCCAGGCAGGAGCAGCACAGGGGCTGCTCACGGGTCGGTGTCAGAGCAGCCTCTGTACTGGGATGACCCCAGCTCCAGGCTGGGTGGCATTCTGCTGCCGGTACCGAGTGAGGATCAGGGCTTTGTCAGAAGTATTTTTCCCGTGCTGGCCCCTTGGGGAAGCCATGTGTCCCCATGTCCCTTACTACAACACTGTATTATCAATGAGACTTAAAGTGAAGCCTGTGTGACCACCAGTGTTGCAGCTTTGCCCCCATGAGCCTGAGCCCTTCATGAACCAGGAGGAGCAATGGAGTTGGCCATGGGGAGCAGCCCCTGTGCCTCGGTCCAGCCTCTTCCCATGAACAGCAGCCTCCTGGACACCCTGCATGTATCCCACAGCTTGGCTCTCTTTCATCCACACTCCTCTCGTGGCTGGGTTTGAGCGGCTTCAGCGTTGCTTTCATGACGGGAGAGCTGGTGTTTGTTGGACTCCCCTGTGGAGTAACCTTGGTCACTCTGCAGCTGTGGATGGACAGGAGCCGTGTCCGGGTGCCAGAGGCTGGAGGTCACAGCGGGGAGCTCCTTCTTGCCCTTCGCTGTCCCCCGAACCCCTCCGCCCTCCACACCCCCAATCCCACCCGTGCCCAGCTCCCCATCCCCTCTCTCTCTGCTCTCCCCACCCGTGCCCAGCTCCCCAGCCCGCTCCGCGTCGCAGCCGAACGCGGTTTTCTGCCGCC